CCCACTCGTCTCACGGAGGAAGAAAAGGCGGAGAAGAAGAGACGTGAACGGGAGGAGACGGCGGCGAAACGTAAGGACATTATGGAGCGACATACCAAATGGGAGGAAGAGTTGGAAGCGCTGATTGCCGCCAAGTTTAAACATTTGGTGGACACAATTGGGGATCTACGCACGAAGGTAGCTGAGGACCTTGAAACTTCGCCCGAGATGACCAAACACCGTATGAATCTCGGAAAGCATCTGACAGAGGTCAAGGAGGAGACGAAGAAGGTGCTCCAAAGGCTGCACGACTTATGGGAAGATCGCTGGGGAGAGATGGACGAAGATTTTGCGGACAAGGCTCCGGCATGGGCACAAATGGTACAGGATATTCAATGGCGATTCACTAAGTATTCGGACGATATCAACGGCGAGATATCGAGTTCGGTCGTCAAATGGATGAATGAAGAGTCTGAACTGGTAAGTTTGCGTTGTGCTATTGTGTACCCAGGAGGTTGTTTAAACCTTTTTTGTGCAGCTTCGATCTGCCACTGAAGAAGTGACGGCGCTTGTGGACAAGGCGCAGACTGAATTGATCTCTGATTATGCATGGTTGAACGATGTAACGTATCGGGACTGGGAGCGCTATCACCAGCTTATGTTCCGTGAGTCGTCCCCCCTTCCCCACCTTCCCCCGTCCGGGTTCGGAGTACTGACGGAGTTTTTGATTACAGGAGGAAGAGAAGCCGGAGAACAGTTCCAAAAGCTCGTGAATGGAGAGATTACATCGACACTCTCGAATCCGGTGCATGATATGCTCGGACGCATCCAAGCGGAAATTGGGGAAGTTACGGAAAAGTTTGACGCCGGTTTGGAGAAAATTCGTCACCAGGGCTGGAAATATCTACTCGGGAATAAGATCGACCAGAAACCGAATAACAAAGGAAAGGGGAAAGAGAAGGGAAGAGAGAAAGCAAAGGCGGACGACCCGCAAGTGTCCATTTTACCGGTTGAGCGGGAAGAGATGGACTTCATCAATGGGGAGGGATTCATAGGAAAGTCCAAGGAGCAAGTTGAACAGGCGATACTCCAGGCGGAAGGGCAGGGTATCCGTGACGAGCTGTAGAAATGCATCCAGGGTGTTGATATCTATCAAGCTATCTGATGTGTATGTACTGTATAGTTTCCACTTGCTATACCCGCGCAAAAATTCCATGGACGGAAGCCCAGCTCAAGCTCTGGAGACCGGGCTATGGTCAAAATTGTGAAAGCAGTGAAGATCCCATGCTACAAATACGAAAAAGAAGGAAACTGAAGCACTAGTGAAACGGTGTCTCCTAGTACAAAAACTAGGGCTTGGCCGGGAATTGAACCCGGGACCTCACCCAGATGATAAAAATCCCTAAGGGTGAATCATACCACTAGACCACCAAGCCTACAAGGGATAATGACAAAAATGATTATTATCTACACACTAATTTTTGTGGCGTTGAGCCTTCAAAAGTGGCAAGGCTTCAGCGAGAATGCACTCAAATGCGAACGGTCACTCTCTGTGCGATGAATCTCTGTTCTGTTCGATCAGCCTGAATTACGAGACAGGATCAGTTCACTGAAGCGAGAGCCCTATTGCCCTGGGATATCGTTTCTTGCATTGACGCGGTCTACGCGTCTACGTGAAGCACTGAAGCTTGAACCAAACGACGTCGATTATGCGACTATCAGAGCCAAAGCCGGTCTACCAACAAGGATTCTACACGTTGAGAACGATTCGAAAAGGCTATGTGGAGGCAACTAAGCGACCGGCTCCAAAGACGCGGTCGCCTCTCGGTCTGGCGGAGGTGAAAGCGCAACGGTGTGGAGCAGCGCAAAGGTGCGTTCCATAACGTTTACTCAACATCCACATCGACGCGTAGAATCGACGCGTAGACAAACGTTGTCGTGGCGTGCGCGTTGTGACTTTGTTTGGGCGGCTGAGCTGGCTGGCTTTCCTAGGCTCGCGCTTTGACGCTGACTACGACTGGTCCCGCTCGTCCAATCGTCCACGAAATTCGACATGCGACGTTGAGAAGTAAACCAAGCATTTAAAGATGACGTTTGGAGGCTAGTTTGGGCTACGAACGACAACCCCTGACGACGACGCGTCGTCCGAACATGGGAAACGCGTGCAAAACGGCGTAGTACACACAGACACAGAGCTCGCTAATTGGGT